CGTATCGATCTTCTTGCCGTTGCGATAGAACTGGAACGTCGGCATTGCACGGATACCGACGGCCGCCGACAGCTCGTCGCTCTCGTCGACGTCGACTTCGATGAACGCTGCTTCCGAGAGGTCGTTGGCAAAGTCGCGGAAGATGGGCTTGATGTACTGGCACGGCGGGCACCACACGGCGCTAAAGTCGACAACGACCAAGCGGTCCTTGTACTTGTCGAGGGTGATTTCGGTGCGGAAGGCGGCTTCGGAAGGAAAATGCAGTTCTTGGACCGACGGCATAGTTGGGATGGTGAAATTGAAAAATGAGGTGTGTGGGACTCGTCGTGTGACCGTTTTATCGACGCAAGATGTTACGAATCGGAACTTGTCATCTTGTACACAAGTCAAATACGTCTTTACCATGTGACACGCATTCCAATGAACTCCAATCTGGAGTCGCAGACACAATGGGCCAGCCAATCAAAGTCCATTTTGAGGGCTTGTAAAATCTTCGAACGGTTCGCACGAAGTCCAGAGCTCGTGTGCAACACCAGACCACGTCGCTTTTGATCACTCCAGTCTACGGCAGCCCACTCGCAGGGCTCGAATTAGACCTTTTCTGAAGTCTCGCGAACGTGTGACGCATGGTTCCCAACTTCATGGTCCCGCTCTGTGCACAACGTTAGCGATTCCTGTTGTAATCCACGACGAGTCCCACACACCTCATTTTTCAATTTCACCATCCCAACCATGTCGTCGGTCCAAGAACTGCATTTTCCTTCCGAAGCCGCCTTCCGCACCGAAATCACCCTCGACAAGTACAAGGACCGCTTGGTCGTTGTCGACTTTAGCGCCGTGTGGTGCCCGCCGTGCCAGTACATCAAGCCCATCTTCCGCGACTTTGCCAAAGACCTCTCGGAAGCAGCGTTCATCGAAGTCGACGTCGACGAGAGCGACGAGCTGTCGGCGGCCGTCGGTATCCGTGCAATGCCGACGTTCCAGTTCTATCGCAACGGCAAGAAGATCGATACGATGACGGGCGCCGACCCCGCGGGCCTCAAGCGGCTGCTCAATCAGCACAAGTAAATCGCAATGTAATCAATTACGTAATAGGCACTCTAGAGCAAAAGGTATAAGAGTTCCTAGGTCGTCGCGGCGGCCTCGAACGCGACCGACGTCGATTGAGGTTGCCGAAATCAAATACGGACTTGTGATTGGTCCTTTGACCACCAATGGGCGACGAGTGCACTTTTGCTTCGAGTGGTGTCGGCCGCGATGTTCCAGCTCGCGCTCTTCCAGCCGCGGATTCCGCCCAACTGCGGCAACATCATCCGACTCGCGGCCAACAACGGCTGCATCTTGCACCTCATTGAACCGTTCGGCTTTAGCCTCGACGAGAAGAGCGTGCGGCGCGCGGGTCTCGACTACCACGACATGGCGACTGTTCGGCGGCACAAGGACTTTGAAGCGTTTAGCGCCGCCGTGGCCGGACACCGCCTCTTAGCTTGTACGACCAAAGGCAGCCGGCCGTACACGGACATTGCGTACCAGCCCGGCGATGTCCTGCTTTTTGGCTCTGAGACGACGGGGCTTCCGGACGACATCCGCAACAACATCCCTGCCGAGCACCGGATTCGGATTCCGATGATGGCGGGCGCGCGGAGCATGAACCTGGCCAACTCGGTGTCTATCATTAGCTACGAAGCGTGGCGACAACACGACTTTGTCGGCGGTGTGTAAACTAACCCAAACAAATCTCAAAAGCACAGAGTCTGTGTTAAAGACGACCACACCCATCGCTGCTGCTGCACATTCGAATCCAAATGGAACGGCGCGTCATTGGAGAGGTACGTACGCCACGTTCTCGTACTATAGCCAGGACTTTCATACCCAAGGCAACCACAGTATGGCGGCTGAATTGATTCCATTCTGTGCTACAAGCTCACGCATTTTATCGTCCTGCATCACGACTTGCAGTCGACGCCACTGTAGTCGTAGGGTGTTTGGCCGAAAGCACGATGCTTGGAAGGACTGGAGGGACCGAACGGAGCGAGTCGTCATGCACTTCAATAGCGAACGCAAGCGTCTCAGGCGATGTCTGGTGAGCTCGACAAGCCTCGTATGCGCCGTTACGGCCCGGGAGCTGTTGGTAAATCCGTTCAGCTATCTACCGGTAGCTAGTCTCTACGTACGCAAAGATGTGGTTGACAAGGAAGAGCTCGATATGAAGACACGATGCCAATCCGAGGTACTCTTGGCATCTTTGTTCGAAGCACACCACCAGCCTAGTATACTGGTCGCACTGGGCCTTCAGTGGATGCGCTCGCTGCCACAAGTGTACGCAGAGGAGCGCACGAATACATCTACCTCAATAGCGTTGGCAAGTGTAATTGCGACCATCCGAACTCTGGTAGCAAAATTCTTCGGTTCGCGCTCAGCACCTTTTCCACAAGGCTCACATCTCGAGTGACCTAAACACGAGTGCAAACGATCCACAACCACGGTGACAAGAATGCATGCTGCCGTATTGGAGGCACGGGACAACACCTTATAATCTCAAGCTCTCTCTCCAGTGACAAGAGACGCTGGCACCGAAACGTGGAGTCTCCAATGCATCTTATCAAGTCAGTCTTCCCCAGGGAGCGGCCTTCTGCCGGTACTCCTAGTTTTCGTCGGGGGGACATTGGGCGCGTGCATTGATTTGCGAGCTACGCACCAACATTCTTTTGCGGGCTTGACCTTGCCGTCAACAGGTCCTTCAGCAACAGTGTAGGTGGGTGGTTGTGACGCCTCGGCTTGGGAAGATATTTAGGCCTGTAATCATGCTGCCGCAGCCCTTCATGATGCTTGCAAGGAACCGCTCCCTACGCTTGGACGCGCTTCGGGGGTCGCCAGGCGCACACCATTTGCGAAGAAGGTCATGGAAATCGTGTTAGCGTGACGCACACACGCATGTACGGGGGTTTCCACCACTGACGACGCGTATCCGGACGATCGGTATCCGGATACCCGAAACATTCGTCGGAGTTCCACAGCGTCTGGGGAAGACAGAAAGAGGCGACGTAGACGAAAATGATGCTCCAAACCACCAAGCAGCTGGCCAAGGCCGTCAAGACGCAGGCGCCGGCCCACGTCCGCTTGGTCTCCTACACGGAGCGCCAGGCGAAGCTCGGCCGCCCCGTCTCGCCGCACGTCGAGATCTACGCGTTCCCGGTCACGGCCATCGCGTCCATCACCAACCGCGCGACCGGCGTCGCCTTGACCGGCGGCTTCGCCTCGGCGGCCTTTGTCTCGCTCGTCGGCGCTGACGTCCCGGCCTTGATCTACGCCGCCCAGGACATCATCCCGTTCTTCGCGCCCCTCTCCAAGTTCTGCGTCGCCTTCCCCGTGACGTACCACTCGCTCAACGCGATCCGCGGCGCCGTACGAAATCTTGTCGTGTTCATTCATAGCTGATGACGTTTATAGGTCTGGAGCCAGAACCCTGAGATGCTCACCGTGCCCCAGGCCGCGCAGTCGAGCCAGGGCCTTTTGGCCGCCGCCGGCGTCGTTGGCATTGGCGCTGCCTGCTACACCATCAAGCGTGATTAAAGCTCTCGTCGAACAGAGACAGCCAGCCACGATTTGCGCTGTAGTAACTCTCTGATCAATGTAAGCTATCCGATTGTTGTTGCATGAATATACGCTTGCGTCTGCCTGTCCACCGTCATGCGCTGCGACGCCAAGCTGCGTCTAAAGATGTCCCTTCACCATCGCCTACTCATACGCCCTTCCTCCGAGAACCGCGCTACCTGTTCTTGACGGCAATGGTCTGCGTCGACATCGCCTCATCCCAGTGCTACCGACGACAATGAGCGAAGACGGTGGCGTGCAAGATGCAGCGCCACTGCTGGAAGCCTCACGCTAGCCATATATATCGCTGCAGATCACCGGCAGCACCAATAGCCATGCGCTTCTATGTGCAACACGGTCGGCGACGAGGAAGAACGCACCCATCGCCTCGGGCGGTCGGCTTCGCCAGCGCTCTTCTTGGCACCTTGTCACTTGTGCGTTATTTTCCGGGAATCCTGCAAAAGACCGGCAATTTCGCCACTTTGACGCTTTTATTTTGGCCAATGGGCGTTTCACGTGTTTTCATTTTGGACCCCAAGATGGCAGCAGTCCCGCCCGAGACCGATGTAGCGGCCGGCCTCGTCGACGCCATGAAGGCGCAGAAGGAGTGGACGAAGGCGATCGTCTTCGACCACGAAGGCAACTTTATCGCTGGTACCGTGAAGCCGCTCGATGGCGAGATCAGGTAGCTGGGGCATGCCACGGCAGGCGATGGCTCATGTTCTGCATAGCGCGTACTTGCGTCTCTACGACGATCGCGACACGACGATGGGCACGGGCATTGTCTTGCTCAACGAGCAATATGACGTCCATCGCTTCCACCCACCGCTTATCTATGGCCGCAAAGGCGACCCGGCCAAGGAGGAAGGCGAAGGCATTGCGCTTTGCAAGGTCGAGAAGAAGGTGCCCGTCTACTGCATGATCACGTACGTATTTCCGACGCTCTCTGCCCGCGCTGTGCCTCAGCTCCAAGCCTTCTGCGCCCAGCACCGTACGTCGTTTCTGTCAAGGCTCAGGTCTCATGCTGGTTTGTGCATTAGTGGCGCAGTGATCCACGATTTGGCCATCGCTAGCATATCTCTCGATCCATTCAAGTCGTGAGCGATTAAAGTTACGTGGTTGAGAAAGCTCCAAACGTTGTCTGCCTCGTCCAGCCGCTCAGAAGCACCTGGAATTCGATCACAACGTAGCCTGTCGTCTCGGTGCAGAGATCGTAGCGACTCGAGCCACCCATGTGCACGATCGATGGGTCCACGAGGCGGGGTGCGCCAAAGAACATGGTGCAAAGACGATCGGTGATGGAGCTCGCATTGCCGATGGGTCGCCACGTCGGACATTCGACCGTGATGCAGCCCGTCGTCGTGGGCACGCGGCATGTGCCATAGCCGCCTAGTGTGAGCAGCCTGAGGCTACATTGTACGTCAGGTGACGCATACATAGCTCCTTGCGGTCGTGCGCATCAATGTGCCAGACTTCGACAGCAATCTGTGGCCAGCCCGCGATCGACGATGTCGCCAGATGAATGTCGATCGGGTGCGCCCATAGCATCTCGACGCCGCACGCGCCAAGCTAGAGGGCTCTATGAGACCTCGATGGAAGACGAGCTAAGTAGGTACCTGTGCCGCCTCCGTGCTCGCCAGCTGAGTCTGGCCCTTGTCCTCACCACGGACGACGCTCCAGTAATGGTCATCCTTGACGAGCCGCCATATGCAGTACAAGCTCTGGCGATCGTACTGCGCGCCGCCGACGATCTCGCCCAAGACGTGGACTTGTGGCATGTCGCCGCCTCGACCGACCGAAGATACGGTCACCGGAAACCGGGGCTTCCGATTGGTCCCACATAGGTGTAGTTATAACGCGTCACGGCTTGGAGTCGTGTTAGAACGTGTTAGATGTCGCAGGCTGGAGCGATCATGGCGGCTTCGAACGAAGCCTTCGGAATCACGTACGGGTATGCAGCGACTGCAGCGTAACCTTTGACGCACTCAGCCAAAGAAAGGTCCAGCGCCGACGGGCTTGACATTTTATGGTAGCGCAGTTGCATTGGCAGGCTGGTTGGGCAGCAGGTCGCTGCTATTTGCTCCTCTGTGCTGGTGCGGATCTGGTGGACGCTCTTTGTGTGTGCCAGCCAAAGGCTCGACCCTACCGCGTGGCTGCTGTCCAAGTCCTTGCGTGGCCGATTGATATCGCAGCGAGCAACTCCGATCGTAGCACATTGCTGGCAGAGAAGCCTGTCAAGCAAACAACGTCACGGGTTGATCCTATAAACTCTAATGGGGTCGCGGGCGTTTAGGCCGACGACGACGCCTTCCGGCGCTCGTCCTTGTCTTCCTCGTAGATCTTGTTGAACTTGCGCGCCTTCTCGAGGTTGATCTTGCGGCGATGGTGGGTCTCCTTGGCGAAGCACTGGTTCAAGGCGGCCTTGATGTCGTTGCAGGCGCCGCCAAACTTGAGCAACGGGTTCTCTTCGTGGCAGATGCGCAGCGCATCGACAATCTAGCAGCGTCCATGAGGCTTCGCGAGGCCCAAGTACGATCGGATGCGACTACCTCTTGGCACTCGGGGTGCGGGCGGTCCAGCGACGAGTGCATCTTGGAAGGTTCTTTGTCACGCGTTGGCTTTTCCACAATGACCGTCTGCGATTGGCCCGAAACCGGGCAGCGAGATATAACCAATCACATGCGCGCCTGCCACTCATGTACATATGATTGGCTGAAATGCGCGCCAGCACGCTTGGGTTTGTCTACATGACGGAGATCCTGGGCGACGAAGACGTGTAATCACACCGATGACGGCGTCGCGCCGCGCCGACGGCCACGGACACAGCCACTGACGCAGCCACAGACGCAGCTCCGGCGCCAATGGCTACCGACGAAGTCGACCTCACGCCGTTTCAAACGTGACCTTTCGCAAAGATGGCGACGGCTCCGGCGCAGACCGACGTCGAAGGCGACGATTGGATCGACGAAGCGAGCTACACCGAGTCAGACAACGAGGCCGACATTCTAGACGTCGACGTACTGCGCGCACCGGCGCCGACCAAGGCGCGGCGCGTGGGTCGTTTCTGGTCGAAGAAACCGAACAAGTCGACGACGACGACCAAGGCAGCACGGCCGGCGACGCTGCCCCGCGGACGCTACCGCATGGAGATGGTCGCGACGCCCGAGCCGCACGTGCCGTGGGTGCGGCGCTTCTACACGTCCGACTTTTTCGACCTTGTGCTCGTGCTCCTCTTCTGGGCTGGGATTGGTGTTGGCATCTACTACCTGCAGGTTGAAGTGCCCGACGAGTACAAAACCGTACGACCAACTGCGTCCATCATATTGTAGTGCAACATGGACGCGTAGGTCGTGACTGTCGCCGTCGCCCTCACGATGCTTCCGCTCGCCATGTACGCCATCTTGCACGTCTACGAACTGCGTCTTCGGCGAGCGCGGCGCTTCGTCAAGGTCTCGACCGACTAGGCGCCACCGACATTGCTTCAAAGAACGCGAGCGACGGCGTCTGTTGGATCGGACAACAGAGCATAGAGGAATGGAACAATGAATCAAATGGCGTTGGTACGGCCGCAGCAACGGTTGCACCTCCTCTACTGATCTCATCTACTACCAGACTACTGTAGTTCTTCGTAGCGACTTAGACGGCCGACTGGTGGCCGACACGGACAATGGCGTCGCCGCGCGGCGAGACGAGCTGGAGCTGCTTGTTGCGGTTGTAGCCCGCGCGACACGCGTCGCGTCTTGCGTCTTCCAGGAGCGCGTTGAGCGTCTTGATGCCCGTGCAAATGCCGTACGTGTGGCGCATGACAGCGTCGTCCTTGGTCGCGAGCGCCTGCGCCCACACCTCGGCGCCGGGCTCGCTGAGCAGCCACATGTCGCACGCAAAGACATTGTCGGGCAAGAGCGTCGCGTCGAATCGCCACTGCTCGTGCACAAACCCTTGGGCGCGGAGGAACCACGGCGCAGGCCCCGGCACGAGAAGCTTCTCCGCGCACGGGTTCTCGAGCTTGTGCTTGGTCGTAAAGCTGTTGACCTTGATGCGCGCGGTCGCAAAGAGCCACTCGGGGCCGCTCGACGCGGCGTCCAAGAGCAGATTGTCGAGGCGCAAGACGTCAATGTCGTGCTTGCGGAGCGCAAGGCTCAGCCCCGCGGCTGACGCAACGCCGCCGGCGCCCGGCTGGCGCTTGATGTACGCGGCGGCGAGCGAGGCCGCGTCGTTGATGATCGTCTTGAGCGTCTTCATCGTCACGACGTACGGAAAGCCAATGTTGAGCTGCTCGAGAGGGTCCGAGACCTTGCAGGTAGGGCAGAGCGCGGCGGCGTCGGCAGCCGAGAGCTGCAAGTGCGCGTTCGAATTCTGCGCCAGCACAATGTTGTCCTTGATGGTAAAGCCGCCGAGCTGCTTGGTCGCGGTCGCGGCGCCCACCGTGTTGAGGAAGACGGGCTTGGCCTGCTTGAAGCCGTTGATGACCTCGAAAAGCGTCTCGTCTTGCTCTTCTGGGTCCATCCTAACGCAAACGATCACAAGACATGCAGAAAGCACGGGGCGTACGCCAGCGTCGAGACGATCGGAATGTCCCCGTCCGGCCGGAACGCGCGCAAAAACACAAAGTCCGAGGCGAGGAGCACCATGGTGGCGTCGGCGGCCAGCGGCACGTTCGACTTGGCGAGCCAGTCGTTGAGCGCGTCGACAGTCGTCATCGGCGTCGGGATAAAGTGCACGGTCATGGCGCGCGGCGTGCGGGTGCGTACCTAATGTCACGTGTCACTCTGCACTTCTCGACTACCAAGTAGTACCTGCGCCACTTGCTCTGCGGTCGTGCAGCCCGAAACAAGGCGCGTGAGTTGGCCGGGTTGCTGGACGCGCGCAAACGACTGCGCGAGCAAGTCGGCGGCCACATGGTCCGACGCCGCGCAGCCCGACGCAAAGACAAAATGGAGCGCATCGTGGTGCGTCGGCTACATCCAGTTGTATCAATCTATCAAGTCGAAACATGGAAAAACGGACCGTCGCCGGTTCGTTGCCGCTGAGGTGCGCGGCCTTGGAGACCGCCGACGTGAGGGGATTCTCGGGGAGTAGCGAGAGCCGCGCGTTCTCATTGAAGCCCGCCTTGCAGCTGCGGCGCTTGTGGTCGAGCGCGGCGCGGTTGTACGCGCGGTAGGCGGCCGCGACGGCGACCGTGTGGCGCGTCCGGAGGATCGTCGAGAGGCCTTCCCACCCAAACGTGTTCTGGGCATAATACCACATGGAGAGTGGGAGCGGCTCGAGGAGCCACGCGTTGCAGTCGAAAAAGTCGAGTGGCACAAGCGTGTCAATCATGTTGAAGGCCTTCCCGCCGGCCCAGAGCGGCAAGCTCAGCGTCGCCGTGCGCAGCGAGAACGGGTAGATCGGGTACTCCTACACGCGATGTAACTATCAATGAGAGCCACAGAGAGTAGGAGGTACCGGCGACGACGGCGAAATGGTCGCGTTCGCGGGGTTGTACCGCGTCACGTCGACAAAGTTCCAGTTTTCCGCAAACGAGTTGTAGCGCGAGAGACGCAGACTGCCCGTGACGCCGTGGCGCAGGTCGACTTCGGCGCTCGCCAGCGCATACGCCAAGTGCTTGTGCTTGGTATCCAGCTGCGGCGCGATGGCGACGACGCGATCAAAGACGGGGCCAATGTGCTTGGCGTGGAGCACTAGTGGCGCGTGCACGGCAAAGTCGCGCCAGTCCTCCACCTGCAGCGCCTTGGAGGCAAGACCCACCGCCTTCTCGAGGAGCTCGACGGGCATGATCTTGGCCGGCTCGTCGGCGTCGTACCAAGCCGCATCCTGCAAAGTGCAATGTGGGGGACGGAAGACATGTCGTTAAGCGTACCTGAGCGATAGCGGTCGGGTTCTCAATCGTGTTGGCGCCGGCCAGCAGCGTCGGCAGGTCGAGCGACCGTGTGAAGATCGAGTCGACCTCAAAGATCGCGACAAATTCGTTGGGCGGCAACGTCACCGTGTCGAGCCTACGGGTTTGCCTTAGCACACGGTATGCAGGAATACGAATGGCCTACCACGCGAGAAGCGCCGCCGGGTTGAGCTCCTTGGCGGTCGAGCCCTTGACGGCGGTTGAGTGAAAGTACGTGACGTTGTACGGGTTGGCCTTGCCCGAGATCGCGTGGTACTCGGGCGACCCGCAGTTGTGCAGGACATGCGTGACCTGGCCCTTAAAGCCAACGTCGCGGAGCGTAAAGGCAAACACTTTGGCGCGGACCACGTCGCGCTTGGCGCACGTCGACGTGAAGACGAGGTGCGGGATCTCGGACGTCGCCTTGTGGTAGCCGCCATTATGGTGGCGCAGCTGCGACGTCGACTGGTTCTGGATGTAGAAGGTCGCATTGAGGTAGCCGCAGAGCGCGAGGAGCGCGATGCTGCCAAGGATGAAGTAGTGCTTCCCCCAAGCAGCGCCCTTGGACGGCGCTGGACGACCCATTTTGAGAAATGGCGACCAAGCCGCCGAAATCTTGGTCGTTTGCACCAATCACCGCGTGACATGCATCCTTTTGCACCAATCCGATGCCTTTCGCCCCCATTATTAGCCAATCGTGTGCGACCCACCTCGGGAAGCATGGCATACGTGGCATCTATGTCGCCGACGTTGGGCAAGTGCCGATCGGCACCGTCGAGGGAACCCAACACACGCGCCCAGAAGACGAGCGAGCATGGCTGGTACTGTTGCGATGGCTGCTGAATACGACAAGGGTGTCCGAGTCGAGCAGAGTAGTAAGATCTAGTCATGCAGGGTACACTAAAGGGGGGTTGACTTGTGCTTCTGCCAGCCATCATGATTCTGCAAAGCAAGAGATGGCTGCCGCAAGTCGACACTGCCCTAGATTAGAGGCACACCGCTGTATAGTGCGACGACGAATACGATTTAGTTATCGGCTCCACAAGGAGACATGCCTGTGGTGGTGCTGCCTCTTCTCTGGCTATCAAAGGGATGCGTGCTTGGTGCGATGCTCCAGCGCTGTCGTCGCAATCTCATGCTGGGTGCTTGCACTGCAGCTTCTTGGATACCCGACGCTTGCACTGCCGAGCCACATCCTTAGTGCTACCCAGTACTGTACGACGGAACGTCCTCGGCAGCAGCTACTCGGCGGCAGCTACTCGAGGTCGTCGACCCCACGATTGCACCGCCGCTTCTTTCTTCAGCCGGCCCTCGTGGATGTCGCAGCGCCGGATAGTCGCTTCCGGTCCGTGGAAAATGCGTGACGTTAGTCGCTCTGTGAGTGACGCGTGCGAGTCACGCTTGTCGCCTCTACACACGCACGCAGCGATCGCGTTCGCCGCGGCCACGTGGAGCCTCGGACGCACGGCGCGTCATGGCCGCCAAAAGAGTGCCCGCGTCACACTGCGTCGCGGCCTTTGCGCCGGCCGCCGCCGATGGCCATGGCGTGGCACGCTGTCACGGCCGTGAGTATCGCCGCGGCGGCGCGTCTGATTGGCTAAAATAGCGAGATATACCGAGAGGCGGTCCGGCGCTTTCGAACGTTTGACGTCTTTTTGGGCGTCCTCGTCCGATCAAGTGCGCTATAAGCCCGTACTTAACGTGTGTCTATAGCGCACTTAGCCGAGATTTTCGCACCTTCGCCGTTCGACTCTGGATGTTTGTATGCATGGCCTATCAGACGGGCCGGATTCGATGGAAACGCTTCCGCTGCTCAGAGCTTATTTATCGCAAGACGCCATGCACAGCGACGAGATCGACGCTTCCAAGCCGTATGCATGCGACGTGACGGTCGAAGACGTGCGCATCACGACCAAGGCCGAGTACCAAGTGGTCGTGCGCGTGAGCTTCTTCTCGGAGCGGACGCGGTCCCGCTGCACGAGCACATGGAGCGTGTGGCGGACCTTCTCGATGTTCCGGTCGCTCGACCAGCAGCTCCGGAAGCGCAATGCGAACCACATGAAGGGCATCAAGTTCCCGTCCCTGCATCGGCGCCGAACGTTCTTCCGCACGCACTTGCAGCCGTCGTTTCTGGACGCGCGCCGCGTCGAGCTCGAGGCGTACATGAAGCTTGTGGTGCAGTCGCCCGACGTCGTCGCGTTCCACGTCACGTCGATCGAGTCGCAGTCGCTCAAAACGTTTGTCGCCTACGTCAATGGCTTTGGCCAAAACATCACGGAACAGCCGCGCTCTGCCGATGGTAGGGCCGGCGGCGGCATGTTCCAGCGCCCTAAACCCAACGTAGCCTCGATGAGCCTCTCGGCCAACTACCGCTGGTCAGGCACAGGCTTTCTGGGTGGGAACCAGCTCAAGCCCGATATGAACCGCGCAAACGACTCGTTCGTGCCCATCAACCCGCAGCAGTTCAACCAGAGCTTCATGCAGCGCCAGAGCATCGCCGGCGCGTCCGCGGGCTTTGTCCCGCCGCCCTCGGCCCGGTCGTCGGTCGGCGGTACCAGCGCCGCGCCTTTGATTGCAGCGCTCGAGTCGGCCCGCGCCAACGACAGTTTGCACAAGGTGCCCGAAGACCCGAATGAAAAGTACGCCACTCGTCTCCACTGCAACACATCTCTGACACAAAGGTCGACTAGGTTGACGGCCGTGACTGTGCCCGCGCACGTGAACCCGATCGTCGAGAAGGAGCGCGGCAAGATGGAGCTCGAGCTTCGCGCCGCGGGGCTGCAAGGCGTCGGCATGCCGCCGGACGGGTCGTGCTTCCTCCACTGCCTCGTGTACGAGCTCTTCCCGATGAAATGGGAGTGCTTTCTCGAGTACCCGGCCACCATGTCGATGGTCAACGTCGGGTCGGCGGACGGCGTAGCCCCGCGCCGCATGGCAGCTGCCGCCAAGATGCGCACGGAGCTGAGTCGCTTTGCGCTCGAGCACGTCGACGCGCTCAGTGCGTTCCTCATGACGCCGGTCGACGAGCTCACGACGCGGTACCAAACGTTTGGCGACTGCATCGACGAACAGGCCACCGTCGCCGAGCTCTACGCAGCTGCCACGATGTTGAACCTCGAGATCGTCTTGATTACGAACGACACGGCGTTCCAGATCGATCCGGTGCTGCCATTGCCCGACGTGCCGTCGGTCCGCGAGGCCGGCAGCAGCCGCCACACACTCACGCTCGGCTACATGACGCCGACGGCCGAGAACGGCGGCCACTACATTGGCACGCGCACGATCCAGCTCACGAGCAATTCGTTTGCCGGGGGCTTCTTCTCCAACTCGGCGCGGAATTCGTCGGTCGCGAGCCGCCTCAGCGCGCAGCGGGCGTCGTTGCAGCCGCACCCGCCGCTCACCGCAGCTCAAGCTGCGACATAGATTCGACACGTGTCCTCTCATAAATTCTCTTATTATCACGCGCCGTTGTCATCGTCCCTTGTGTCCATCACCAACTATTGTACGGGCCACCTGGGATGGTGCATCAGTTGGAGCCCCATAACTCGGCAACGACTAAAGCTATGCTTAATCTGAAAAGTGTCTGATAAACAGAATGATTCGATTGTTCATAATATACTCTTTTATAGAGCCTATATGCTAATACGACAGAGATAAACGCTTTCAATCGTAGCGTGCACTTTCAGGCAGGGGGATGACAATCCGGTGAAATTTGCGTATCATGTCTCCGTACCTCCATAAAACGATATAAGGTTTCGGAGGTTCGTATGGTGTATATGCTATGAGTGACACAGTGCATTTGCACCGGAAAGAACTGCGAACCTGTAGCTTCGTCGTCTGTGCTGACGTGTTCCCCGCTCGGCGATTCAAACCTCACAAATTACGCCATTATGCAAATTATGACCGCACCATTCTTTATTTTTGCCTTCTCCATAGAACAACCCTCGTGCAGTTGACGCTGCAGACACGGTGGCGAACCGCGCGTTATTGATAATAAATCAATGATGATGTCTATATAAATTACGATGTTTGGTCCTCGCCCACGCCCTTGGGTCGCTTGATGCTCGTCATATCCTTGAAGTAATGTCGTATTGGAGGGTTGGCGCGCGCCTGCGGGTCATCGCGGACGAGATTCTCCGACTTCGACTCCGTCGTGGCTCTTCCCCGCTTCACTGGTCTTGCTACGTTGGGGTGATCCCACTGGTACAGCTCCTTGATACTCTTGTAGTACGTTTGCTCGTCGTAGTTGTGGTCCTTCTTTCGTTTGGTCCAGCAGTCCTCGAGTTGCACAAGTAGGAGCTTCTTCATGGCGATAACAACATCGTCAACTCGTTGCTTCCCGACTGAGCCGCGACCTTCACGCTTCTGGATCGCATTGAGCAAGGAGAACGTGCTCTCGACATTCATCGAGGACGCAAATCGCTCGTTCGAGTAGGGGACTCGCTGGTCTTCTGGCGTCATCGCGTCGTAGGTCTGGTTGATCGCATGACCCCGAAGAAACGCCAATCTTTGGCGAAAGCCATCGCCCATGAGGTACAAGGCCTCGATGAGGCATGTCGGAAGCGTGCCCCCCATTGACGCTGGCGCTTCCTCGGACGGGAGAGATGCAGCCGGGAGAGCCGCACATAAGCTCAGAGGAGTCTCCTCGTCCTCGAACGAAGCCCATACCTGACTGGTATAGGCGGCCATGTCGGCGAGTTGATTGTCGTCGCTGTCGTAGCCGTCTCGAGCAGCGACCTCGCCGAGATCGATCAAATCGGCATCGCTGTATTGGATCGGGGTGGTATTTGCTTGCACTTGGTCGGCGCTGTGCCTTTTCTTAATGTCGATCGGTAGCGGGTAGTGTTGGCCCATGGGCCTCGCATAGAACGCCGAGCGGACAATTGGGTCCAACCAGTCGAAGAAAGCAGCGACGTACTCCAAGCGCTGATCGTCCGTGATCCCAGACTCGTCGAACACGGAAAAGAAGTTGCGCCAAATGCGTACCAAGTTTGCTTCATGTGGATGCGTTGGGGCCAAGCGAGCTTCGACCTTTTCGGACCAGAAGAGGCGGGCGTCAGGGACGTTCTGGTGGTCGCGCTTAGACGAGTACCACCAATCCGGAAGGACAGGCTTCTCGCCTTCTCGCCAAAGCTTTGGGTTGAACGATCCTGCAAAGCCCGTCGAGATGTGCGTGGCAAAGCGCTTCAGGACGTGATCGGGGTCGATGTTTTTGGTGAGGATAAGGCTTGGGTCGTGAGGATGAGGCTCCGGCACGTAGACGTTGGAATAGAAATCGCACGAGCTCTTCGTGAGAAGCTCGTACAGCTTGTTGTCAACGAGGAAGATGACCAGCCAGTGCGTCTTTTGGGCCTTGGTGAACGAAGTGGCGTTGAGCTCGAAGTGCGCAAGGAAGATGGCCGTCCACCGCACACGCTCGGGGTCGTAGTCTAGGACCGTGCTTTCGAGATCGGCTTCCATTCTGCCAACAAAATGATGGAAGACGTCGCCGTCTACCATTGCTTTCTTCTTTTTCGCCTTAGCTGACGTTGACGCACCAGCTCGTGAACCCGGATCGTCTACTGGGGGCGTGGTGACAGTACGTGCGGCTTGAATTGCATCCTCCTTCGTCATGCGGGCTCTGCAGTTGCAGCACGCGAAGATGCTGCGAGGACGGTACATCTTCACAGTGACTCCTGCGTTCTCGCAACGTCTCGATTCGCCGCGCGTCGTAAGAGTTTCTTCGCATTGCTGCTTCGTGATGGACATCGGTGACGCCCGTGGAAGGTTTCCGTGTTGGCACGAAACGATTCCGTATTATTTACAAAATTGCAGACAGCATTTTACAAACGACATACATAAATCATATTTAATTTATGCCGCGTTTGATATACAATATACGGTACTGTCTTTTAAGAGAAACAATATACGGACGTAAAACACTTCTGAACATACTCACTTCTGATTGGACAAAAAGAAAATATTGGCCTATGACACGTTTTTCTTCCTTGGAGTAGGCTTCCTTAAATATTGAAACCGTCCAAACGGTCGTATGCGCAAGGTACGCAAAAGGGTTGTCCGAATATGATCTTATATCGAAGGGGTTGTTCTTCTATCCTGAGCTACGTCCGTCGCCCTTTGCCCTAGGAATATCTCCCGCTCATTGGTCTGAATTGTTCTCATTTTCAACCAATCAAAACACCGTTTGGCGTGCTCGACATGCGAAAAAGCAATTTTGCTGCCATATTGTCATCCCCCTGACTTTCAGGGCCTTTTGGGAGCCGGTGGCTGTCCCCATTGCACGCATCTTATTGGTTAGCGGACATACCACCTGCCGAATGCTTCAAGGATCCACCCATCATCTGTTCCTGGCGACGCGGAGATTGGCCAAACATGGGTACACTTGGGCGTGGTCACCCATGTGGGTAGTCTCGGTGGTACTAAGCTGCTCAAATTGTGTACAAGCGAATTAATCCATAACAGACAATATTACCAGAAAACTTTTAGCACTGTTCGATAGCTCATATCGAAAACCACAAGTGTACCAAATTTCATTAACTTGCGTTCCTTCGTCGGTGTAAAACCTTTCTCGTAAAATCGACATCCCTCTGCGTGCACCATCCCAAGTGGCCCGGACAATAGCGTGATGCAAGGAAAGGGGATAGATCCTGGTTGCTGTCGGTGGAGGTTCAAGCTTCGACAAGTTGGAGCCGGGAGGCGACTGTTTTCGTAGTCGGACGCCATCTCCAAACTACAGGCCGGCGGTACCAGTCTCAATGTGAGACGTACCCTGAATAGGACGGGCGTGCGTTCAGACAACGATCACGGAGCTTGTGACGCGGCTCCTGCGTTTGCATCCTTTTGCAAGCGCAGCGAACTTCAACCTGCGATCCATCAACCCTACACCACATTTGGACAGCGCTATCCAAACGACATTGTCCGAAAGGTCGCATTGACTCGCCGCTGCTCAAGCTCGAGGTCGGCGATCGCCACTACATCGTGGTGCGCATGGCGTACTACGGTCTCTGCCGCGTGTTCCTCGACCGCGGCCAGGTCATACATAGGGACCTTTACGAACTGCAAGGTGGCATTCGAACAGCCGACGACCGTTGACTTTGGCATTCTCAGCGACAGCACATCTACTACATTCCCATCTACAAGGTGAGCGACGAGACGATTAGCCGCATCCGCATGTGTGCGACGCCGGCAGTCGTTCAGCGTCGACTGGATCCAGATCATCAAAGGTACTCCGCGAACCATCAACGATGCTGTGGTGGAGCATTGATATTAGCACCGACCATCACCAAGGTGCGCGGCTGCATCGACCAGTACTTTGCCACAAGCGCGAAATGGTCAATGTGACGCCACAGATGACCAAGACCAACGCCGTGTACCCTCGCTTTACGACGCTCTTTGGTCCGCTCTCGCGACCGTACGCGACAAGATACAACTGCATGGTCCACGAAACCATCGCGATCCAAGGCCGCCACTTTGGCGACACGTCCATCATGCACTGTGCATGATGGACGCGCATAGGCCGCTGGACTGCGCAGACAGTTGCTTTGTGGGCGCCGAATGCCAACAACAGATTGCAGTCGCCGCGACCGCGGAGCTGCTTCGCATGGCACTAACAAGCGCGTTCTCTGCGTACACAAAACATGCAATTCATCCACGTTGCCAATTATACATATACATGAGGTTTAACCTTTGTTGCTTGAACGTACTTGTACGGAGTGCCCACCTGGCACACGCTTCGTCGCATCGGTCGGGTCGACGCGCCGCGTGGCATGTCGTACAACCGAGCAGTAGGGGCCGTTGCCGCCATCGTTGTGGCTGCAATAGCCGGCGCGGTGAGCAGCGACCCGCAGCGGTCCTTGAGCAGGCACGCCGGCGCGTGGTGTCGCGGGCTACCGAGGCGGCACGAAGATGAACGAGGCGGCGGTCTATAGGGTCGAGTCGAGCGCGCCGCCGACGAGTTGACGACCTGGCGAGCTCGGCGTGCGGGTCGAAAACGAGGGAGCTGTGTGAGGGCGCGATGAGCTGGACGAGCTGTGGACGAGCTGGGCGCGTGGGCAGAGCATGGCGAGAGCTCGTTGGTTGAGGCGAGCGTCGCGTGGAGGACTAGGCGAGCGAGGGACGTAGTACACGCCTGCTCATGTCGTTGGGGGCGAGGACAGCGCCGTGCCGGAAGCGGGCGGCATCTGAGGCTGCGACGGTTGGGAGCAAAAATAGAAATGATCCGATCTTTGTATGGTTGGGGCCTCACCATACTGAAACCAAACCATTTTCTCAAAGTTCCTACTCGCCTTCTACCACTGCCGATTGGCTGCTTGGGATAAACTAGACCCTTTTTGTCCAATTAAAACGCGCCCGAAGGCAGCGGTCGCTGCATTCTCATTGGACGGCAGGCAGAATCCAGGGAGGTGATTGGGCTGTCTACTTATGGCCCCCAGTGGTAGGATTGCGTAATCAGCTCACTTGACGACGTTGTCCGTGGATTGCCACTTGCTGCTTCGCACGCTCGCACCGGAATAAAACGATGATAAAATAGGATCTAGGATCTTTTCCCTCTCTTTTCTTATGCGGCTGCGCCATAAATTGCTACTTTACCATATAAATGGCGCATTCCCCATATAAATGGCGCATTCCCGCCGATGGAGACTATAGAATCATTCGAATGGATTTTCAGTGAATCAAATAAAGAATTTCTTTGAAACCGTCTTTTCTACTAGTATTCGATATCATTTTCTATGTCTTTGATATCCGAAACAGCAGTGGCGCATGTAGTTTTCGCTACAACAGTGTTTCATCAAGCAACTATGTACATGTATTATTCGTCTTAGTCCTCGTCAGACGAAGAGTCTTCGTCGGAGGAGTCATCGTCCTCGGAATCGCGGTCGCCTAACAGTAGGCGGTCGGGAATGTCTCCGCCATTGTACGTGGCAAAAGACTCGAGAAGAATCTCGGGGCTGCCATCCTCTTCGAGCTCCTCGATGCTGCTGGCGTCGCCGGCCGAGCGTCTCGTAAGTTGCTTCTTCTTGCTCTTCAACAGTCAAGTTCAAAAGTCCAGCGATCATTTACCCCACTTTGCAGTTGCGGGCTGCGTTGGCGCTTCCTTGCTTGAGTTCGCGCATGCGCTGAGCCTGGTTGTACGCAATGGCCGACTGCATTTCGACCTTCGCATCTCCCAAAGAAGCTCGCGACTTGGTCAACACAGCCTTTGTCGCCTTGTCTACGCGACGCAAATAGTTTTGCACACGACATAGTGCTTTTTGCACACAACACCACACGAATAAGAATATATTATAATATATATATATATATATAATAACCAGAAATCTGCACGCCGCCTGGTAAGTGGGGTTCGTGGGAGAGGGGTTGGTAAGGGGATAAGGTGCTTGAGGGCCTTGTGTGATGGGAGAAGTGTGGGGATCGTAGGAGGAGTAGGTAAGGAGGTTCGGAGGTAAGGAAGCATGGGAGAGGGTCGTTAGGGAGAGGACGTGGAGAGGTATCGGCGTAAGGTTTGATTTATTAATATTCATCCAGGTCTAAATATTATGTGGCGTTGTCACAACGCCACATAATATTTATAAATAGACGCTTTTGCTTTGGGCACGTGAATACCTGCATCATGAGGCGCCCAAAGCCACGATAGAGGTGGAGTGCTTGCGACTAAATGAACGACGGTTGCGATTGCCGGAGGGTATCAAAGCCACATGTCCCGCCCGACGCCATGGCCACGTACTTGCCGTACAGTGCCGTCGTGCTCGCCACGTCGTTGGGCGGAAGCGGCAAAGAAGCTGGATCGCCTCGCGGCATTGGCTCAAAAAATCGTCTTGACCAAGAGCCAAAAGATCACCGTCATCGGTCTGCTCGCATATGGTCTGCTCGTGCACATCGCGCAAGGCGTCGTAGTACAGATCGCAGCGGAACGCCAAGGCAAAGACCGGGGAGTAAATCTGTTTGAAGCGCATGTGAAGGCGCTCCGTGAGGGACTTGCGCGTCTCCTTATGGCATCCACACCGGTTGGCATCTCGATCGACGACGTCGGCATGACAACGTGGCGCGGTTCCCAGCGCAGCCTTTGATACTTTTCTCTAAATATTTAAACGAATGGCTTTCGAAACTTTATCGAACGGTGCAACTTTAATGAATGGTCTCCATCAGTAAAGTTGCGCCCCCGGATAAGTTTCCTCGTCCAAATTTTGCAAACGCCTCGTGGCGTTTTGTCTGCTGCATGTAAAATGCCGCGCGGCCCAGAATAAATTCCGTTACACACCCTATTCAATTTATGTACCGGTACCCTTGTGTGTGGCTCAGCGTTGCAATTCCTGTGCTGGCACGCAATTGGTCAAAATAGGAAGAAATCAGGCTGCCAATCGAATGACTGTATTTTCATATTAGTTTGACACGTTTTTTCAATTTATCTTGACACGTTTTTCGATTTATTTTGACGCGTTTTTCAATTGATAGACATATTCAAAGCCAAACGTGGTGTCTTCGACGGCTTCAATACAGCTTCATACGAAGCAAACTCAGTGCTCGTTCGTTGTGTGGTGAAGCACACTGCTCATCCTACGTCTAGCACGAGAAAAAGACCCGTCGAGCTCGCCCA